ATGTGATCTTCACCTAACACTGATCGATGTCTTTGCCGTGCAAAAAGCTTGCAGGCAAGATCAGTGATTCTTTACAAATAGTTCATTGAGATTTCTTAAAAAGTCAGGGCAGCAGGGAGGCTGCTGCTCCACGATCCTGCAAGTCTCAGTGGTCTCCTTACAAAGACGGGCGGCTGGAGGCTGCCAGCTCACTTTAAGAGCAGCTTTGTGAAAAACAACCCCAGTGCGCATGCGCACGCCGCGGCTGCTGTCCGCCCTTTCTGCGCGTCCCCTCTCGCGCCCGGCTCGCTCCCTCGCTCGCTCGCTCGCTCGCTCGCGGGTACAGTAGGTGTACAGCTAAGGGAAGAAGACAGTGGGGCTGTCGGGAGGTTGAACCTGACTTCTCTTCATTGTGGGCTCCTATTGGTAGGCAGGCTACCGTAAACCCTCGACGTGCTATCTGGTGCCCTTTACCGAGCACACTCTAATAGATAATGAAAGAGGGGGTGGGAAGGTGTTTGCAAAGCCAAGTAAGGATAAACTGCTGAGTGACCGGCCGAAGCGTGCGTTACCGGCACTGCAGGGTTTTGCCCACTGCTTGGATGGAAGGTGGAATAAGTGATGTGTGAAGAGAGATGGGGGAAGGGGTGAAAGAAACCGGTTGAGCAAGCGACTGGGGTTGCTGAACATAATCTACCGAATTTCAAAGGAAAACGTAATAAAAACCAGACAAGAAATAATGTTCATAGACAAGAGCATTCTTGACTTGGATTTTTAAAAAGAGCAGTGCGTTGTAGGCAGTGTGGAGATGAACTCAGGCGAGGCCAAAGGAACCTTACAAGAGAATACTATAAGGAGCAAGAAAGAGAAGCAATATATAAGTTTTGTTTTTTAAATCAGTAGGCTTCGCTTTCTCAACTGTTTTTTTCTTCCATCTCTTAATTAGATAGAAACGAAAAGCAACCAAGTTGTTTGCATGATGACACCAGGGGGAAGAAGGCCTGACCACTTCCTAGAAGGAAGAAAAGAGACTTTTTAAAGACACCACCTACAGCTGGATGTGCAGTGTATGACATGATTACAACTCCTGTGTCCAGAGGATTAAAAATGGAGTTCGGCCTAAAAAAGTACCACCTTAAAAGAAGCAGCATGACACAGTGTTTTAGTTGACATCACGTTCACAACGTAATAGAAAAATCTTTGTTAGAAATTAGTGAAACCTGGAAGATGTTGTTTTTTTTTTTTAAAAGCATGATTTGGTATATAATAGAGCTATGTTTTGTAAAGTTCTAATCATTTTTACAAAGCCAATAGCCTGAGACTGTTCAACATAGTAATTCTCGTAATACATCTTAAAGACAAGTACATTTATCTCTTTATTGTGAACATTTTGGTAACAAATGGCAAAAAAATCTAGATTTTTGCAATCAGCAGAACTGTTTCTAAGAGGGAAATGTAGAAGGAAAAATATGAATCTGGAACTATATATTCATAAACAAATACACTTTGGAAGATTTTTTGACTGTACTCATTGGTCTTGCTGTTTTCTTGCTTTTGGGGGAAGAAACAATTTTATTTAGTTGGATTTTAGTTGACAAGGCAATTATCTTGGACTCAGCATTATATATAAATATTTGAACTATTTGGAGAGTTAATGGGCAGGCCATTTATCTCTAACAGAGTTTAGACGGTTATGTTTAAAACTATGAATTTATGTATTTGAGTGGGAAAAATAGTCTTTTTTTTTTCTCCTCTTGGTTGACACCTGGTGGAAATTCTTGTTGTTCAAGGGCTTGGGATCTTGTACTAGCTTTGGTAACAGATACTGCTTGGGTTTTTTCGCCACCTAGTGGTAAAATGGTGAATTTGCTAAAATGTCCTCTTCTCAGCCTTAAGGTTAAATAATATTTATTAAGCATTCAAATGACGTTGGACAAGAAGTGGATATAAAAGTGCAGTAGACAATTAGGTGTTCATTAATAAATTTGTTTTAAATTCTTAAGGGCTAGTGAACAATAGCTGAATTCTTCAGAATTTTTAGTAAAATTTTTCTAGTTGGAACATAACTTATTTCTGAAAAATTAAGAATCAGCTGTTTAAATAAACTAGAATTGCATTTAACCAGAAAGAACCCTAAGAGATTTACTTGTAGTTTGGAAAGTTGTTTTACCATATTAAATGATTCATTCCTGTGATTATAGTGCATTATTCCTTCTCTTTGAAGCTTTTAGGATATTATAAGTTATTGCCTTTATTATTTACTTTGCTATTTCTCTTCATTTTCTTTTTACTATGACTTCCTAAACACTTTGGTAACTGACAAGTTGCCAGGAAATTTTTATCCCCTGTCATTTTTACTTAAGATCATACTCACTTATCCTAATTATCACCTTTCTTCACTTTGGTTTTAGTCACATAACTATTTTTTAAGTGTCTGAACTTGAGTTTACTTGCTTCCTTTTGTTTACCTCCTATTTATTCCAACTATGGAAACACCAGAAACAACAAACAAACAACGCTGGCACCTTTAAATTCCTGTTTATGTTTTATTTTTTTTAAGTTTATTTATTTAAGTAATCTCTACACCCAATGTGGGGTTTAAACTCACAATCCGGAAATCAAGAGTCACATGCCCTTCTGACTGAGCCAGCCAAGTGCCCCTATGCTTTCCTGTCTAAAAGAAAAAACAAAAACCAAACAAACAAAAAAACCACTTGGACTAAATTTTGGACTAAATGTTTTCTTTCACCTGACTTTTGTAACCTCCCTTTTTAAAATTCCATGTCTAAAAATCTGTCTTTTAGATAAGTTGAAATGTACTGTAGCTGCTATCTTGGTCTTCTGAACTTGTCTCACTAGGCCCTTACTGTATTTTGCATTAAGTTTAAGCTATTCATCTTTACCACCAAGGCTCTTTCCTACTGCACCCTAGCCTACGTCTCATATGCCATCTCCTCCTGCTCATCTGCTAACTCTCTATACTCCTGTCAAGTACATCTTCTGTCCCCTTTGTTAGTCTGTCTCGCTGTTGCCAATGTGAAGTTACATGCTGCTTTTTGTGCCCAGAACAACATCCCACTGCTGTTATCTCCTTTCCCTTTTCCTAACCCCTCTACTAGACTCAGTTGGCACAACTGAATAAAATTCCAAGTAGACAGAGTAACTAGCTCCCCCTTCCCTTTTTATAGCTTTGTCAGAGCTCAAATAGAAATCTGTCTTTACGGTATTTGTTTCTTGGATTTTATATTCAGTGGCTGTTGCACCTTATTGTACAAAGGATTAAACTCAATCTCAAGAACTCTGTCTAAAACTGACAAATGATCATCACTATCAAGATATTTAATATTGATGTGGTATGTAACAATTACTGCCAAGTCTGGAGTTTTTCACATATCAAAATACTCAATATTATTATTGAGAAGAAAAAGGCAAGCCATCTCAACTGAAAATTTTGGTGTATGGTTGTAAGAAAAACCATATCAGCAGTCTTTTAAAAAAAATATGAAATCCATGGTTAATCTTAATTTTAGCTAACACTTGATAGGCTTAAATACTGTAGAACTAGGGGCATTGTTTTTGGTTTTTTTGGTCTTAATTTTGTATTTCAAGATTTTGTAAGTGACTTAACTCTTTTCTTTCAGATTTTTTTTTTTTTTAAATTTATTTGAGAGAGAGAACACGAGCAGGGGGAGAAGGAGAGGGAGAAGCAGACTTCCTGCTGAGTGAGGAGCCCGACATGGGGCCTGATCTCAGGACTCGGAGATCACGACCGAAGCCGAAGATAGACGCTTAATGGACTGAGCCACTCAGGCACCTCTGACTTAACTCTAATATCTTCAAAATGCAGCAATGACTTCAGTGTGGAGACTGGAGGCAAGATTTGCTATATTATTAGTAAAGTGAGTGGGGTTTTTTATATTTGATAATTATATGCTATGTTTGTTATGTTTTTTATACTTAATGGATATTTAAATGTGTTGTGAATTTCATCATAAAATTCAATGCCAAATTTCTGTTTCTGTTCTCCCACATTAAGATATAGTATGATATGTATTATGTGAACACTGGTTAATCTTTTATTTTTGATTTCTTGATTAAAATAAAATCATCCATAATTCTATCCACCCAGAGATACCACTGTTAACATTTTATTACATTTGCATTTGGTGTACAACTAGTAAAGAAAAGCATTGCCTGTGAAGCAAAAACAATGCTTCATATCATTAGAACATTTTTGACAACAGATTTGATTAGTGGCTTCAAGGGAAAATCTCTTGAATGAATTTGTAACACATAGGTCCTGCTAAGTTAGATAACTTGATAAAGTTTATTCATCCCACCATGAGTGGCATTGGGCCTATGGGAAGGATCGGAAATACTAAGTTCCTTTTTTTTTTTTTTTTTAAGATTTTATTTATTTATTAGAGAGTGAGAGAGCGCCCAAGCAGCAGGGAGGGACAGTGGGAGAAGCAGACTCCCCACTGAGCAGGGAGCCCAAGGTGGGGCTTGATCCCAGGATTTTGGGATCATGACCTAAGCCGAAGGCAGATGTTTAACTGACTGAGCCACCAAGGTGCCCCAATGCTAAGTTTCTTTTCTGAACTATTTATGACTTTTGAACAAGCACAACAATGTAATGAGGGTAAAAAAAATTCTAATTATAATAACAAACATTTTCTGATGGATATTGAGTTTTAGTGGCAAAGTATAATTGAATGCAATCAGTTCTCATTTGTTTTTTTTTTTTTTTTACCTCATATTCATATTTTGCTAACTGGAATTTCATATTTGATATCTTACTTAGAGAATGTTGCTTTTCTGGTCATCTACATTTTTCCTGTTGATGAAGAGGATCATTATTATTGGTGATTTTTAAAACCTAAAACTTGATTGAAAATACAGATTCCAGTTCGGAGGGGGGAAAGATGGCAGAGAAGTAGAGGACCCTATTTCAACTGGTCCCCGGAATTGAGCTGGATATCTACCAGACTGCTCTGAGCACCCACAAAATCAGCCTGAGATGTAAGAAGATCTGAATCTCTACAAACAGAATATCGCAGGTGATTGGTTTTGAGGTATGAAGCGGGGAGCTGTGATTCCGTGGGCAGATATCGGAGGATAAACGGCAGCAGGAGGGTGCCTGGCCGTGGGGATCCTACACTGCTGGTGAGCGACAGCCTCGCCCGCTGGGGACTGGGCACAGACTCGCAGACCGGTAGTGGTGGGAAAGGACTTTAGGGCAGCCCCTGGGGCGGAAACCCAGAGCAGTGGGGTCGCGCCTTCAAACTGCAGCCCCCGGGATGGAAACCCGGAGCGGCAGGGTCGCGCGGGTGAACTGGGAGCGGCTGGCAGTTTTAGAAGCACAAAGGGCAGAGATGTGCTCCAACCTGGAGGCATGACTGGGGGCGCTGTGGAGGGGCGCACAACCCAGGACGGGGCAGTTTATAGCAGCACGGACAGAAACGGAGACGGTGTGGCCTGGAGAGCTCACTGAAGAACAGACTGTGATCTCTCTGCTCTGAGGCAGAGGGTTGGAAACGGTCTCTTCTGCTCTGACTCACGGAAGAGACGCGGAAAGGT